AACGCTCATTTGCTCCACAGTGACAACTATTCACGAGTGACAGGTTTGCCCATGAAATTCAAGATCCTCTGACACTTCTAAGGTCCTATGCTTCCCCAGCCTGCTTCATTGTCTTCCTGGAATCCCTTGAGGCAGAATCCTGGCCCCTGCTTATTTTCACATCCTTTGAAGTACTAGGCAGTGTGTGCGATATGGAGAGATCTCAGTGAGTATTTGTTTTTCATTAATTTGATTTGCTGTGACATCTATGGCATGCAGTATGCCTCAAGAATAAGGTTTGTTATCTTCTCCCCAGTTTTTGTTTTGTGATGCAAAACCCAGAGCCTCACACATGCTAAGCAAGCGCTTCACCTCTAAGCTGTACCCCCAGACAGAGTCTTACTAAATTCACGGGGTGACCTTCAACTTGGCCTCTCCTACTTCCCTAGTAACTGGAATTACAGGTTTGCACCTCACTTAGCTGCAGGACCAAGATTCCTGATCAGACTCTGGAGCAAATGGTTGGCCCAAAACCCAGACAGAAAAGCACAAGGACATTTGCAATAGGATGAAAAGAGACACTTGATTACACCAGAGATTCTGCTGTGAGTAGATTGTTCAGTTCTTTCTGAATTTACTGAGCCTTTTGCTAAATGACCTTCTTCACTATTCAAGCTCAGTCACTGTCCGGGATGACATGAACTTGTCCACGGATACGTGATGCTGCACCTGGGGAATCTGTCATCTCTCCAGACTGCTCTGCAATCTCAAAGCCAAACACCAAAGCTTTGGGTATAGCTTCCAGTTCTTCCCTGGGTTTTTTCTTTTATTTTCTTTATCCCTTTCTCCTTTCTACTTCCTCCTATCTTTACCTCTTCCCCATCTGCCCAGGTATCATGCTTAGTCACTGCAGCCTCATGATGATAATATTCCTCACTTTCTTTGCTCTGCTGTCCTAATTTGGACACCCCATCCATGTGCCCACTTCTCCTGCAGGGCTACTGAGGCAGCTCTTACTCCACTGACCAGGGCTTCTGTAAGGCCTGCCTTTTCTACCAGCTCCTTTCCACCAGGCTCTAAAGCAACAAAGGTGATTGCTAATGCTTTCACTTCCAAGTTCTGTCCTCTTTCCTTACATTTGCCTTGGCTAGGTTGCTATCCCTTATTTCCTCCTGCCCTGCCCCATCCAGATGACACATCAAAATCAGCCCCTCACTCTCAATTCCTGCCTGTCCAGCACTGGCTGTGTGAAGCTACTGGAAACCACTGCAAATTAAATTCAGTTTACATATGCCTTGTTTCAAGTGTTCATAGGGCACATGTGGTATAGCTATGGAACATTCCATCACACAAGGTTCTATTGCATAGGGCTTGCTTATGCCTTCTGAACCTGCTCCTCATCTCTCCACCCACTGTGTGATCCAAGTCCACAACCCCAGGCTATGGATGCTGTATCCCAGATACCCAGGTCCTTATACAGCTGTTCCTTGATATTCAAGATGATTGGTTCCAAGAACTGTGGCTACCCATGTGTCTTATATAAATGGTACAATATTTGCTCAAAGCCTACCCTCTCCTTCCATATATGTTAAATCATCTCTGGATTACCTACAATTACTAGTACAGTACAAATGCTACGGAAGTAATTATTCTACTGTATTAATAATAAAAAGAAAAATATGTATGTCTTCAGTACAGATTCAATACTTCAAAAATATGGTGAATCTGGGGATGTGGAACCTGCAGCTACATGGAGCTAACCGTACTTCCATTCAGAGAATAAACCTTGGAAAGGAGGGATTTCCTTATCTGTATTCTTCAACTCCGCCTCCCTCTCTCCGCCTCAGCAGCCCCATCACAGCACAAGTTGCCCTCAGTTACTTTCATTCAAAGCCTGTTCTCCACTGGGCAGAGTGGCCCCTTTCTAAAACGTACAGTGGATCTTTTAATTCTCCTGGTAAACTCAGCAACAGCTTCCATTTGCCATAGATGTAAAGGTCAAATTTAGTAAGACTAAAGCCCTTTCTCCTTGAGCTCCTAATGTCCCACCTTCTTCAGCCTGTCTGGTACTGCCCTCCCCCTTCGTTTCTGCAGCCACCAAACCTGCCTCAGCTTTTGCTCAGGCCCAGGAATTTATCCTTGTCAGTCTCTGCGTGTAAAGCACTCTCTCCCTTCCCCTTGATCATCTGTAACAATGCTTGCTCATTCCCTAGGTCTTAGTGTAGACATCCTCAGGTATCTCCAGATCCACTGCCTGCATCCCAAGGCAGTTAGGTGGCCTTCCCACGTGTTCCTGGGGCTACTTCTGCTGACTCCATCATGGATCTTGTCCCCCTCAACTGTGATGTCCCCATGGTATCCCCATTACCCATGTGGGGCCAGCACAAAGGTTGGCAGTGTCATGGAATCTGATTTATTTTCTGGCCTTTCGCTAACACTGATGGTGGTTAATCTTATTGGGTGCTACAAGAAATGAAGCTGGGCCAAATGCCAAGACATTTTTTGCTAAGCTGCTTTTAATTAAAAGATGAAACGTTGTCATATCCTTTTATAAGAAGGGTTTCCAAACTGATTTGTGACCCATAATGGGCCATAAGATCGATATGGTAGGTCATGACTAGTTTTTTTCCAATATGTACCAGAAGAGTGAATATCAAGATGTGTCATACATATTAAAGGTACTTTTCACATAATTTTTGTTTCAGCTATACCTATGCATACATTCTTGTGTGTACTTAGCCATAATACAAGACTATCTCTTGCTCTGGGTTACAGTTGCAGAAATTGTAAAACCCTGCTCTCGATAATGCCTAGTTGATTATACCTGGGGCAGATGCACAAATAGATTGCTTTGAAGAGGCACATGATGATCTTAACTGTATCACAGAATACAAATCTCATCATATCCAGGCTTGTCTTCCATTGTCCTGTAATTTTCATTAACTTTCAGAAATAGCATAAAATGAAAAATGCAACCTATCAAAATTGTTCTGAAGGATTTTTTTTTTTATTATGTTGAGTCCTTAACATCTATGATATTTTAGGGATGCAGAGACCACCACAACTCTACAACCTGGGGGACCATGCTCCCACTTACCCTACCAGTTCGTGGGAGGACTCTCAAAGGCAAAGCTGATGTCACTTACCTTGGTGACTTAGAATATAGTAGGCTCTCAATAGATGTTAGTTTGTTGAATGACTGTGTCTATGGAAGGGATCCTAACTGGCTGACATGCTATATCCATTATGCAGCCATGCAACCATTGAGACCAAGGGCCCTGATGACACCTGCTTATTCCACTATCCTAATGATGAGTGTAAAACTAGTATGGTGACAGTGGGGGAGGTGTTCCTCAAGCTACTACAGCTTCCCATAAGAGCCCAAATGTTTTAATATGAGTGAGTGCCACACCTGGGCATCTACCTACAGCATTTCTGTTTTCCATATAGAAAAAAAAAGTAAGACCAAGGTGCCATTAAAGTTTCCACGTGGGCACTAACACATGCAGATTGGTGATGGTGGAGGGCTTAAGGTTTTGCCGCAGCTATGGCAGATATGATCACAGCAATGGGTCACTGGTACAGACAGCAAGGGAAGTAATGAGGAGGGCTGTGCCATGTGTCACCATCCCCAGGGAGGACTTTATCTTATCAATGGATTTATGCATGAATTTTCTCTTCTCCTGTATGTCCATTACATAAGGAATCAACCTTATAAAATATATTCAAAAATTCAAAAAAATTTAGAAAATATATTTTCCATATTTACATATGCCTTAAACACTTCTGTGGAAATCTTAAATTTCCTTTCCCACCCTCCACCTGACATATGACGCTTCCAAGTCTTTAAGTAATTTTTCCCAAGAATTTTATAGGGGAATAGGAATCTCACTGGGATGATCGACTAAAATGGATTTACCTAATTCCATGCTGAGGGCAGTCTGGATTGTTGCTTAGTTTCCTTTGTTACAAACATTTTCATACACATTTTTATAGCTAGGTTTTTGAGCTCATTCATGATTATCTACTTGGAATGAGGAAGTTGGTTTACCCTGGAAATGTAGGGCATGGCTATTTTCCGTTTCTATTTTCAATTTCCATTTGTACAATTAATATGTGTAAATAATTAGGATGAAATTGTAAAACATAAATCTCTTGACCCTAGTCAAAATAATAGCATAGCATACCAAGAGAAGAGAGGGTAGCACTGAGAGCTAGACCCTCTGGCTGGCCCTTCCAGCTTAACCCCAGCCTGTGCCCTGGGTCCTGGGTGAATCATGGGCTATTCCTGTCCATTTGTTCATTTTAAAAATAAGAGAGCCCTCAGTGTGTGCTTGTATTTTTAGCATTTGGGAGGCTGAGGCAGGAGGATTCTAAGTTTGATCCCAGCCTGGGGGAATTAGTGAGAAATTCTCAAAAAAGGGAAGAGGTGGTTGCTCAGTGCAAAGGCCCAAGTTCAATCCTCAGTCCTGCCAGAATTTTGTGTCAGAGGCTGAGACTGTTTTCCTTCTATCCATGACAAAGCTCCAAAGGTGGCCTTTGCAGCATGAAGGTCATATTTTCACCGTGCCAGAACCCCCAAGCTAAGTAAACGCAATCAGTCTGGAAAATTGTAAAGGATGCAGTTTGCATTTCTGAGGTGTTCTGAGAATGCTTATCCCTCCCAGCTGGCAGCCCCATAAAGGAAGCATTTCATAAGATGCCCCTGGGTTGCTTAATAGGAGTGCCAAATTGAACCATCAATTTTCCCCTTGGTACTATTGCTTTGCTTTCTTATGCCGGTGAGAATTCAGGGAAGCGAGAAGACAAGAGTCCAGGTAGGTGGCAGTTAACCATGAGAGCAAGGCAGTCCTTGAGTTTAGTTCTAAACTGTGAGCGTACTTTTCAAACTTAAAGTTTCTCTTGTTTATAAATAAACATCGTAGCAAAAAGGCCCAGGAAATGGGACAATTTCACTCTCGTTTACCTACCTGGTAATAAGCTCCAATTCATTACAGAGAGAATAAAGAGACAATACGTACCCAACAAACGAAGAAGGAGAAAAAGAACTCCTAAGGCGTAAGACTTCAGTTCAGGGCTGACTGTTCTACATGAAGAGATGAAAAGAAAACAAAGAAATCCTTATCATTCTACTTCAATTAAGGACCAGAGTCATTCTTTGCAGTCCATCAGAGCCCTTTATGAAATTATTAATAGTTTTGGGGTTATTTCCCCTGCTCACACTCTAAAAATAACTGCAACTGCAGAGCCAGCATAGGTTTAGGAATTTAACAGTGCTTTTTAATAACTGGATCTCATTTGTCATGCAAAGGACTGAGTACCAGTCTGTTAACCAAGTGCACACGTGGAGACAATTCGCTTTCATTGAGAGAGGGAGCGTCTTGCAGAGGTGGGACACGCGCATGTGGAGAACAGCATCAGAAGGAACTGTTCCTTTATGCCCTGCTGAAACCAGGAAGACCTTGGCTACGACATTTGTGAGATTCACCACACTGGCCTGTTTTGTCCCCTCGATGACCATTTGGAAAATACTGGACCTTTTTCACTTGGAAATCTCTCTTTGTATAGTGATGCTTCTTTGCTTGTAACTGATTGTTTCCCTGGCTTAGGTTTGCCTAGAATACCCCATAAGAAGGATCTGCTTGTACATCAGCCACAACATTTGCAGAGTGCAACATTTTCCAGGAAGCAGAGAGACAATAGAGTAGTGAGTGCTTCTAGACACATGGATACACAGCTGTAACACAGTCTCTTCTGCAATACCTTATCAATTTGTAACTAGTTTATTCAGGGCTCACTTTGTCACCCAGAGGCCAAGCACTCTGTGTCTTGTGCTTCATGACCTCCACCTGCTCTGTGTCTGCTCCACAGTATTTGCTGAGTGAATGGGGGATCAGGGAGGCAGGCAGACAGACTTACAAACCAGGGCAGGCCTGCCTTGGATTGGCAGTGAAGAAAGGTGAAGGGAGACATATCCAACCACGTGCACTTATACCTCAGGCCATCGTCAGAGCCACTGACAGAAAACCTTCCTCTTATCTGACCCTATCATGAGTCCCTTTGGCAGCAAGAGAGGAAGCATGTGACTGTACTGTGCCTCTTGAGGGCTTTGAGGACGCATAGCCAATCCAATGCAACTGAGCCTTGGGAATATTTCAGTGTGGCTGAAACATCAGAGTCATACAATGCAAGGAAGGCTCCCTGGCAATTGGTTCTGGAGAAAATAAAGGTTAGGAACCAAGTCACCAACAGGCTATCCAATACACAGGATGTGGAACCTGTCTATGGGTTTGGTGGCCAGAATGATGTTCTTAAACCATCCTATGGGCATCCATTCTATAACCTACCACTTGATCTGAGCTTCAGGTGTGCATGCCTATGGCTTCATCGTTTTTAACCTGTCATACCCTAAAGGTATGACAGGTTAAAAACGATGATTAGACCAAAAGAAACTTCACATGTGCCACAGAATGAATATGTCCTCCCCAAGCTCATACATTCAAATATACCTTCAAGGTGATGGTGGGACTTTAGGAGTTAAGTCCTGAGGGTGGAGCCCTCAAGAATAGGATTAGTGCCCTTATAAAAAATGCCACAGGAAAACCCTCTTGTCACTTTTATCATGTGGGGACATGGTAAGAATTTGCCATTTATGAAACAGGAAACAGAGTCTCATAAGTTCATCAATATGTGTCCTCTCTTGGGTTTTCTCATCTCCGGAACTGAGAAATAAATTTCTGTTGCTTACAAACTACAAGTCTGCGGTATTTTATTATAGCATCCTGGAATAGAGGAAGCCAGTGGTTTTTGCAATCTCTGCTCCCCTTTCTAAGATTTTCAGGGAACGCTGAAAATGTGTTATTTGTGGAGAAGTATGTGTTTATTTTTAATTATAAAGAATATAGTATAGGCAGCATGTCATGGCTTTCCCTGAGAGGTAAACATGACTCTGACTGAGGAACCCCATCCCAGTAAGCATTCTTCAGAATGCACCTATCACAAATCCAAGTTCCTCCATGTGATTATCGGTTCCATGGCTACAGGTTTTAACACATTCATTTGAAGGTTTAACTTGAAGGACAAATAATAAAAGCCAATTTTTCTTATCAAGGAAACATGCTGGTATAATGAGTTGGACTATTTATCACTTGGGATTTGATTTCCTTTTAGTTATCATGTCACTAGGAACAAAGTGAGAAAGATCTCTCTTCATATCCTGTTGGGAAAAATCATTCTCTTTGGATCCTAGTTATGAAGAAATGATGGACCCCGTCTGAGTATTATTGTAAGTTTCAGGTAAGACCAGAGATGTGGCCTTTGCTTCTCAACTGAACCTGCTGAGTGATCTTGAAAATACTACTTTATCATTCTCTGAGGCTCCTTCCCCTCCTAGGAGGGCTACTATCAAGGTGTAAACACAATCATTGAAAACAAGAGCCCATAGCTGGTTGCTGGAGGAGCCCAGTGAGTACCAGCTTTTATCCGTTCTTCTGGACTTTCTGAGTCCTGTTCTTGTGAAGTGCTTTTGTTCAGCATTAGAGCGAGCCCTCGGTTGGCTTCAGCACATCTGGGCTGAAGCTCATACTCTGTCCTTGTGCCACCTGGAACATCTGGGATGGCAACTAGGACTGGGAAAGTGATGACAAAAAACCACCTTAGCCTTCTCTGTGCAGCAGGTGTGAGCACTCACCTCTGGCCCACCCTGGCCAGGTCACAAAACCCATATATTGTTGAACCATTGGAAGGGAATCAGATGTGTCCTGAGAAACCCCATCAGTTGTTTACAGAGTTGACATTTGGAAGTGATCAAGATTTCAGTAGACTCTGTTTGATCTGCCAGTCATCACCTCAGAATGTTAACAGGTTGAATTTTTGCAGGGAAATTATGGCAGAAGGATGGGGGAATGGTCACTGTCCAGGGTGGAGTAGTTCCTGTTTTATGGTGCCTTGTGTGTGTGGAGATCACAATACAACTTCATGAGAACTCCTCATGAGAAATAAACTCATCAGCAGCCACCCTGAACCCATACATAAGATCTGATGGGTTTTGTCCATGTGCCTATCATATATAATCATCTTCCATATATATAGCTTTAAACTCAACTGCTCATTCATAAACACTTTTCACATTTGTAAGATTTTTCATTATTACATTGAGCTGCAGAGCCATAATTTAACTCACTATTTCACTTCAGGTATTTCTGCTATTATAGTTAATGTTGTAATAAAACCTGTCTGTATTGGGCTTTTTCTCTTGTAGAGAACTATTTTCTATAGATAAATGGTGAGAGGCGGGGTAGGGTTACTGCATAAACAGGTCTGAATATTTTTATGGCTCTTGACTCGCATTGCCATATTGCTTTTTTGGAAGTATTGACAGGCTTTTCAATGCCACCAGCAAAATGTGATTTTACTCGTTTGGCCACAGCCTTAAGAAGCAATGGATTAGAACTGTTAAAATGTATTTTTCAAACTTATTAAATAGAAAATGGCAATTTGCTTATTGTGCTCTTAACACTTTTGCACATTCACAAGGCCTTGATAATGACCTTGATAAGTACTTTGTATAAATGCTCCTCAATGGGAATTCATGACAAAGGCCATGAGCTGTGGCAAAGAGGCAGGAGAGGAAGACAAGCCATGAAAGGCAGCCTGGAAAATTTTTCCAAGCATTTCGTTCCTAGTTTTCCAGCTACTGGGATTGAATGGTTTGCTTATACAGCTGTATCTCAACAAGATGAGTCTTTGCACTGAATCCTTTGCTCTGGTTCAGATGGACACTAGAGTTAGGGCCAATGCACTTCTGGGTTCTTCCTACCAATCCAGGTAACTTTCCCATAAAAGTCACTCAGATACTGCTAGTCATTCACAGTCACCTCACTCACCCCAGGACGGGTCCCTGGAGAAAGAGTGTGACGGAATCCTAGGCAGATTGCCCCAACAACCTGCATGTACAAGAGGAGCCAACACTTGCCTGCCCCAAGACTGCTGGCCCATTCGCCCCTCACATTGCTACGCTGTCTGTACACAGGCAGTCTTGACAGGTTACATGTCACTGTGTGAGACAGGCAGGAATGACACCATAGAAATGAGTCTGGGGCAAGATGTCTTGCCCAGCGGCCCATGGCGGGGCAGCTGGAACATGAGGACTTGGCTCATCCAATGCCACTTTCATCTCACTCTGACAATTCTGTTCCCTGAAAAGATCAATGAAGGATCCTTTCCAGAGGGCACTGCTGGGAGGACACGAAGGTAGTCTCTTTCCTTGTGCCCTGCTGGCTTCTCTTGCTGTGAGGTCCCTAACTGATGCATTGTCCTGATTCCTGTTGACCTGGGCTAGCTGTGGCTCTGTCTCTTCTGCCTTGTAAGGCTTGCGCAGCATCCAAAGTTATGGTTTCCAGGCGATGTCACATGGACAGGAGAGGGTGGGGAGCTCTCGGGTCCCTGGGCCATATGATGGCTTACCTGATGAGGATGATGACGGAGGGGGTCTGGGCCATGGCACCAATCATGCTGCAGACACACATCACACATAGGAAGGTGAGGAAGGCCTCTTGGCACCCAGGACTGGGGCATTTTCCAGGAACCACGGTGGCATTCTCAGGGGGGACAGTGGTGAGGCACGCACAGCCTGTGAGATTCTGAAATGGAAGCATTCAACCCTTTAAACTGGGTGTCTCTCCAGGTTTCATACCCAAAGCCATCCATCAGCTGAACTGTCACAGCCTAATTATGCATTCTGCAGCATTCCATTAATTAGGCCTGAATAAACGAGTTAGCTTTTTTAAGGAGGCTGCAAAAACACATGCAAATAAAGGAATATTTATGGGGAGGAGAGCTGATTTTCCTGTCTCCTGTGTGTTTCATTTCCATTCTCAAGAATTCCTTAATAAGCTCCACCGTAGACAAATGTGTCCCCCCCAATACAATTAGAGAGGAAATTGTGCTTCCACAATATGATAAAACATTGCCAAATTAACATTGTAATTACTTGCCAATTTGTCTCCTCTTTTATGCAGTTATAATTACACTGAAGTGTATTAAAAGAAGTAAATCAGGTAGCCCACATATTGGTGCTAGTTCAGTGCCTGATGTGGCACTCAGGACAAAGGATGCATGCATCATGCATGAAACTGCTGTGCCTTAGAGGCTACAAGAGGACAGTGCCAGTGGGAAAGAACCCTGGTGGCTGAGAAAGAAAGAGGGCTAAGAGAATCCAAGTGGCTCAGTGCGGCTCGTGGGGAGCAGGAGAGCCCGGCGAGACACACTCATTAATATATGATCAGAGAGCAGAAGGAGAAGCGACTGCATTCCATTTGATCTTCTGAGTACAATGGCCCGGCTGCCCATTCCCAGCGTGGGCCTTGTCCACGCTTCTGGCTCGCTCGCTCTAGGAATCTCTGATGGCAAAGGGAGGAGCAGGGGCTGGAAGAGGCTGAGCCGGGCACCTAGTCAATTAAGGTCTGATGATAATAGCGCAGAGGCCTTTAATGAATACAAAGTGAAAACAGTCATAAATGATTCATTGCCTTCCTCTCCAGGTCTGATCAGCTTTCCGAACACATGTACAGGTAAATCCTCCTGGGAGTCGTACAAATCCCCTCGGCCTTTTATGCTTCTGCTGCTCCACGCTTCTCCCTTCACCCTATCACTCTCTCCTCTTTTTCCCGTATCTCCTTTTATTTCCCTTGCAAGATTTCAGGGGTGCCCCAAGTCCTGTGTGTTCCCACCCCAGCAGGTTTGAATCCACAGGGTGGAAATGGGGGCACACCCTGTGCTGGTCTGCACACTCCTCTGTGGTCTGCCAAGAGCAGGCATCTCAGAGGTAATAGCCCTATTGTGTACACGGGACATGGACGGTAACCCCAGTCACCAAGGTCCTGTCCTGCTCTTTCCCTCTAGATTTCCCCACTGTTGTAGAAAACCCAGGACAGATATTGCCTGTCTGAGGCTCCTTCTGGCTGAGCTGCTGCTCCTGTCTTCTGGAGGCTCCTTTGAGGGTCACCCTCCAACCTCCACTGCAGAGACGCCTACCTGCCTCCCAGAGGGAGCAGGATTGTGAAAAAGAATCTCTGGGCCAAAAGCACCTTCCCCAGCAGAGTAGCAGATGAAAGCCAGCAGGGAGTTTTGGGGACATATGTAATTCAGCCTATTTTGAGGGAGCAAGCATTCTCCAGATTCTAAGGTAAAACGCCACACCTTCCTCTCCCGGCCATAAAAACCAAACCCCACTCTCACCAACATCACAGGCCGAACTCTTCCAGCTGCTGACCTCACTGCCTGTGTTTCCTTATCCCGTGGCTCTCGGCTCACTCAGGCTGGCTTCTAAGCCCTATGTGCTCAGCTCTCAGGGGGCTGTATAAGCCCTCTCCCACTACCTTTTTCTGTCACTGTCCCTGGAGGTCTGGTCTATAGTCCGTTCCTCTGCTGTGCGAGTTCCCTTTTCTCTTTCTGGCTGCTCCTTATCCATATTTCTTGCTGGAACCTTCTTCCCTTTTTGCTCTAAAATGCCTCAGCTGCTCAGGGCTTTGGTCAGGACTTTCTTTTACTATTTCCCTAGGTATCCTTTCCTTGTTTTACCATCTTAACCTTGCTCACGACTTCCCTAAACTGACTCGCTAGCCCGTGTCCTTCTGGGATTACATGACAGCCTTCCTGACATATGAGTGCATTAAGGCAGCAAACTGATCCTGTCCAGTCAGCTGGCACACCCTCTGAGGCTGGGTGCTGGGTTTCCCTTCCTGTATGGGTGACCCTGGGATGGGGGAGCGCATGGAGAGCGTGAGAAGGTAGGAGTTCTAGGAAGTCAAAATGTACCATCTCAAAGTATGCTTCTTTGGTTTAAGTGTTATTTTAAGCTCATTATCTGAAGGAAGTAAAGATGTAGAAGAAGCTCTGACAGCAGAGAGATTACTTTTTTTCAAAGGAAATTCACATTTCTAGTTGGTGATTCCTTGACACCCAAGGAAGTCCCCCACGACAACGAAATCGAAGGATGCCCAAACATCTCCTATAAAATGTTGTATTTGCACAGATCATCCCACATGTGTCAAGTAATCTATAGATGACTATAATACCTAACACAGTGTGAATACTTTATGTCATCATTAACTGTCAGGCTGCATTATTTAGAGAGTACAGCTAAGGGGGCAGGGAATCCATGCATGGTCAATACAGATGCAGTTTTTCTCTTGAAAAATTTCAAGATGTTCAGCCCACAAATATGAGCTCCAACTGTATAAAAGGGAATCTTGTTTCTTAATTTTTTGAAACAAGAAGAGAAGGCTTATTGTGTTGCTTAATCTGTTTTCAAATGCCTGGGCTCAAGTGATGCTCCTGCCTCAGCCTCTGGAGTAGCTGGAACTACAGGTGTGTGTTAGTCCTCTGGCTTTTGGATCTTGAGTTGAGGAGTGTCCCCTCACTGTCTCAGGAAGGGAAGCATGACTCAAGCCACCCAAGACTCCTTTTGGAGAGAAAGCATCCATCTACACCTGGTAACAGACCTCCCTTGCTAACTGCACTTTGTCTGGTTCCTGTCCATAGATGATCACCTTCCCACAGCTCAGTTCCTTGTTTGCGCCTGGATCCAGAGCTGCCTCTTTGAGATTCACTCATTTCGCTGATATCTCTCATTTAGCCAGAAAGCAAATAGGTTACGAAACTTGCTTGTTCTTCTCTTGTTAGTCTCTGCTTCATTGCAGGCATCTGTCCAGTTAAGAATTAGGATCCTCTAACAGATAATCACTTTCCCTTCCCTACAAAGTGAAGCAAAGCCCGGTGTGGTGGTGCACGCCTATAATCCCAGCACTCTGAAGGCTGAGGCAGGAGGATTGCTGTGAGTTCGAAGCCAGCCTGGGCTACAAAATGAATTCAAGGCTGGCCCAAACTGCATATCAAGACCTTGTCTCAAAAAGACAGAAAAAAAAGTGAAGCAGAGGCCAGTAAGAAGGCCATGCAGTCGGGCACGGGGCTGTATGTATGTGAAAATGAGCGGAAGGACCTACCTGTCCCCAGGGTGCATCCCCACTGACCAGCAGGGGTTCCCTGCCCACCTTGACTAACTTGGCTCCTAGCTCTCTTTCTGGTCCTGCTGAGCAACCACACACGCAGTGTATGGGCTTCTCCTACAGCCCTGATGTGCCCACCTGAGATGGTGCACCCCGGCTCCTTCCTCTCACACCCTGGTTCACATCAGCTCTGCTCGCAGCTGAAGCCCTTTCTCTTCAACACGTGTGGGTGCTGCCCAGGCCAAACCTGGTAGATCCACCTCCCTAGACCCAAACTCCTTCTCCCAGCTCTCAGCGGGCTCACTGAGCCTCCATGGGCTCACTACAAGTGGGGGTGAAGGTGGGGTGGGGTGGGTATAATTCTGAACCCCCCTTACTCCAAATGGCTCTTTTTCTTGACCCTAAGACTAATGAGGACAGAGCACTGTGGTTTCACTACCTAATTCATCTCCAGCTCTACAAGGCAGGGTGGTTCAGAGCAGGGATTCATTAAGTATTTCGAACAGTTACATATGTCCCATCATTTTATAATATCCAAGGAATGTCTCAAGTGATTCCCCAGTTTAATCCACTCTGTCCTCCTCACTTTGATCACCTCAATAGGCTGGGAGGGAAGACACTTGGTCCTGGGGGCCTTAAACCATGCAAAACCAAAAAGCAGTCAATTATAAAGACAGCGCAGGACCCCCTTGGTGGCTGTTGTCTTGTCTGCACAGGTAGCCCAGGCACTGAGCTCTGATTCATGCCCCCTCTCGGGAGCACTCAGGAATAGGACGAGAGCACTGAAGTCAGTGATCAGGCCAGAGCCCTCTTACAGATCTGTGTGACTGGCAAGCTCCAGTTTAACCTGTAATTAGTACCTATGTCCAGCCTTACGTTTGGTCCCAGAACTGCCTTTAGCAAAGCAGAAGAAACTGCCTGCACCTCTGAAATGCATCCACTCCACTGTGTGTGATCACCTCCTAAAGGAATGAGATGAATGGGATGTCTCTGTCTCAGACCATGTCTGCAGAAACAGCTGCCTAGAAGCATGAAGCTGACCCCTGCAAACAGGGTGAGAACAAAGTGGGTTAAGCCTCCGGGGTGGGGGGGAGGTGAAGATATCATGGTGGGATTAGCATCCTTATCAAGGAGACAGCAGACAGCTGCCTTGTCACTTCTGCCAAGTGAGCATGGTGATGAGAAGGTGATTCCTTCTCATCTGTGACCAAACGTAAGGACCACAGGAAGTGGTCCTCTCCAGACACTGAATCCACCTGATCTTGGACTTCCCAGCCTCCAGAACTCTGAGGAACAGATGCCTGTGGTTTTTAACCTGCCTATATTTTCTAGGCTATCATAGCAGCCCAAATATGCAAAACCAGGCAGCCCCAGGCCGAATGATGACAGTGAGGCATCTGTCTGGTCAGTAATGTTGTAGGAGGAGCTTGAGACCAGCACAGGGCCCAGGGACATGTGTGCTCCTGGGGGCTGGGGAAAGAGATGCTGGATATGCATATGTCCTTCCAAAAGCTTTAGAGAAACCTGTGCTCATTTATTCAGATTTCATTTTTTAAAAGAAAATTCACATTTGTAATCAGTGGCCCCTCGATGCCCAAGGAAGGCAGGGTTGTAAGCCCCTCAACGTGACAAAA